ACAAAAAAAAAATACAACGTGAAACAATCAAATAAGTGGCCAATTTTCACAGTAGAAGCCACAGCTCTTTTCAAGCAATACAAAATACAATTAATTATCAAAGAAGTACATTCAAATAACGTTATCCTCAGCGACTAGAACAATGAATAGTATGAAAAACAATAAGAACCTAAAAGATATTTCAATTATTCTACAAAATAAACTCAACAAAACAAAAACTAACCAAAAACATATTTTACTCATATGGAATATGGATCACCAGTCTCACTGGTATCAAAGCTAATGAAATCACCAGCAAATATGAGAAAATGGTGACAATAAACAGCACAAACCCGAACATTATAGATATAATTTCATTTTATGATTTAAAGTACGCTACAAAGTTATGACATAAGTGGCACAAGTGTGGAAACGATCAAAGCACTAAACTTAACTTAATTAAGAACAGATGAGAACACCCAAACTTTAAACGAAACAGAAATTATTCCAAATCGATTACGAAAAGGACAAGCCGACTAACCCTGGCGCATGCCGATACCTTCTGGCTAAGGGTAAAGCTGCCAAAGGAACCCATACACGAGAGGCCTGTGGCATAGTGGTAACCGGTTAACTAAACAAAACGCAACCTTACTAAATGCCGAAGGTTCCGTAAAGATCGATTCAACCTCGAAATATCTAGAAACATTGAATTGTAACTTAGACCAAAAACCAAACCTAGACCAAGAAAATTTAATTATTCATTTTTAAAATCAAATGATTTATTTAGCAACATTTTAAAAAGCAAGGCTCAAATCCAACAACAATTTTTACATTGAATTTTTTAATTTTTTATTAGTCATTATGTACCATTATAATAATTTATAAAAAAAAAAAAACATTGTATCTATACAACATATAAATACAATGTATAACTAATAGCCAATTTCTGTCACTTAAAAAACAAATAGTAACCAAATATGTTATAAAATAAATGCATTCATGACGTTGATTTACAACGATAAATATTTCACTAATTCTGCAAACGTAATCAAACAAAAAAATAAAATAACAATAGATAAATATTATACTGTACCAAACGAAAACAAACGTTCAATATTGTATCAATTTTTTAACGGCACGTAATAATCACAATTCACAATGACGCGAGTAGGAAATCAACAAAAATAAAAAGTGATTTTTTACTTAAAATGACTTATCAGGTTGATTTAGGTTACATACCAAATCAACTATAAGGTAATATTTTTTTTATTTTTTAGTTGAGCATCAACTACAAAGGTTTTTACTTATTAGCTTTACAAGAGATATTACATTTTTACATTATATTTTATGTTATTGTAAATTCAATTTTCTTTGGACATAAAATTATGTTTTGAATGTTTTGATAGTTTAAAAATGGACTAATTGCTTCGTACAGGTTATCACGATAATATTGTACATTATTCAATGTACTTAATTACTAATAAATTAAACTATGCTTTACAAAATCTTGAAGACATTACCATACGTTTATCGTGTGTGTTCAAAGAGTAATGGGTACAATAATATAGACATATACTTGTGCTGCTTACTTTGTGAACAATATTTGAGTACAGTACACGGCCATCGGATAGGAATTGTTTTCGCATAATTATGTACGAAACTGATCGTTTTTACAATGGTGAAATGCGTAGGAATTACATCTGTGTTTAATTGTGCATATCTTATCTGTTCTTAAATCCAATTTTATAATATAATTTATGCCCTTGTGTCTATTGATTTCGAGGCTGAAAACGTTTTAATAAACTACGATACTGGCTTTATATTACATATAGACGTTTTCATAGTCGGTTACTTGAAATTTAGTGATCGAGCATGTTGTTGTTTATAATATAATATACCACAACATAATTTAATAATATTGTCTAGTTATGATTTGGGTTAAAAATATTGTAATTATTTTAAGACACCGGAAAATAGGACCTAGACAGAGGAGTTGTGTAGTTAAAATGCCTATCCAGAACGCCGTGTCACAATTAATGAAATTAATATTTTAAATATTTTAAATAAATTATAATTAAATATTTACATTTACAATATATAACTTGTAAAATACTAGACAAATTGTTTAAATTGTGATACAAGCTACAGTACGAAAGAAAGGAAATGTGTACTTATTTCACCTTGGCGGATTGAAGACATATATACAGGGCATCAGTTGTCGTTGATTATAATTTATAAACAATGTGCTTTCGAATGACTTTCCCCTTAAAAATATCTCAGGGGGAGTCTTAAAATTTAAATACAAAACGGGTGGTAAGTTTATACAATAGACGCGTTTCGATTATAAGTTGTATAACAGCAGTAAATATAGTATTCGTATAACCGTGTGATTCATGCAGTCATAAGAAAATTAAGAAATTCGATTTGCAGAGTAACCTAATCTAACCTAACCTCGCGAAAAACTATAATAATATGTGAAGTGTTAATTGAGTGGTACCTATAGGATTGTATATATTTTTATAAGTATAATATTTGACGATTACAATATTTTGTTACGACGTATTTTCATGAGTTCACCGGCGTTTACAACATTTTCCCCGAATCACAATGGTATATAATAGTATACATATATGTTACCCACCATTTGACCTTATATAAAATGCACATACGAAATGGCAAAATGTATTGAATTCGATTTACGAGCAGAGCGACGAAACTGTAAAAGTTTTGTAGCGATGATTATTTTTGCTGTTGTCAAAAAAACACTTTTTATATAGTACAAAGAGCATTTCTATTCCGTCAATAGTTTATTTATGTATAAATAAATTACGGACGGTGTGTACACTTTTTACAGAAGAAAACTACTATACGATAATAATACATTATTTTAATTCGCTTTCTACAAACGTGGTTATATGCAATTTGTTTAGTGCTGACGAGTATAAAATAGTATGGTCATTGGTCGCACACTATACACTGCAGTCCAACTCAGGATTTCAGACATTTCACAATATTTTTAATACACCTATGTATGTCATGAGCGTGATAAAAATGTGTCTTATGAATACAATAGATAGAACTGCGGCAGATGGTGCTGCAGTCAACTGCAGAAAAGAAACCTTGTGGTTAACTAATTAAAAAAAAAAATAAAATGTTTTCAAAGTATTGATAGGCGATTCTATAACGATCTACAATGACGACAACTGCCGACGATAGGTCATTATGGTTAAAATTATAAATAAAAACTGCAAAAGCGTACCTCTATAAATTGTCATCAACCCGGGGTGATATTTTATCCTGCAGGTGTACCAGGCACATGCCGATTTAGACTACAGCCAGGTAAGAGGGTACATGTTCACCCAGAAATAGTAAGGAGGAATAGCATTGCCAACGTGGTCGCTCGTCATGCCGTGGTTCAAAAAGGAAAAAAATATATAATGGGGTGGCGTAACAGTAGCAAAAATCTATCCATATAGGGCGTAACTATTGTTTTTTGTTTATCTCCCCAACCAACGAAAAATGTACAACCTTGTCTAAAATAATATATAATGTATAGTGTATACAATGTACGTAACTCACAACATATAGGTACAGAATCTATAGTATGTAAGTACACAAGTGTTAAAAATATAAATTATTATACAATAGTATATCAATGAAATCAATTTTCAAATCCAGCAAAAAACATGAATTGTGTTTTAAACATTTACAACTATTTAATTGTCATTTAAGTTGCAGGTATATAACAAGTGACAATTAAATGGTTTCTATACAATAAAATGATTACTGCTCGATACGCAATACGAATAATACATATAATTGAGGAGGGCTAGGTTAGAAGTGTTAAGTCCTTATCTTAGTATACATAGCTTGTAAGTGGGCCAAACCTAATCAATCGTCTATTGACTGATAATTATAATCAACACGTACACTACCACGCACCTAAAAAATACAAGGGAGAAATGTTTATAATATATGGGTAAAGTAATCGTATTGTACATGACGTAGTCGTATTATCTCTCATCTAAACGAATTTAATTTGGTTATTTTCGTAATTTTATTTTCCCAATTAATTAAACTGTACCGTCTGTAACCATTTGTTCAGAATCAACCAATTATTAAATGCTTGTGCAGTAAATAAAATATAAAACAGAACTGGTGATCTTCAGTTGCTTAAAATAGATAAAGTACGAAATGCGAGAATAACTACAATCGGATCAATAAACCGATATTATTATTGTTTGGTAATATTGTAAAATTATAATTTATAATTTATACATCATTTTAGGACTTAGGTGGCGTTTTTATAACATCATATTACCAATGTTACTTCAAAGACTAATAACCGATTATTGGTACAACACGAAGTGCACTCCTTATAGATCAATTAGACATAGAATAATTATTTGGAAAATTAAATATAAGTAAGTTCTTGTTAATGTCTCTCTCCCCGTCCACTGCGCCAACTCGATCTGCCCAAAGCATCCAAATCTGGGGCCAAGCAAAACCGTCCAACATTCGCTTACTGAAACCATCTCAAGCGATTAGCTTACGACTAATGACCGGATTCACATGGTATGTCTCTAACCTTAAATTACACGATGGCCTACCTAATATACTCAGACTCAAAAAATTAGAACCTTGGGGGTAGATTTACAAGAAAACTTGAGTTGCCAATGTAATTTCTCAGGGTTCAATCATTTCCATACCAAATTTCACAAAAATCGGTTTAGCTGTTCAATCGTAAAAATTTAACAGGCAGACAGAAATAATATTAATATTCTATCTGGGTGGTATGCATAATAATTATCTACAATAATATTGTGGAAAATATTTAGCAAATTTACATTATAGCTGCGCACTCTGTACAATACGTTCGGTACTACGGGACGTCGTCGCCCGTTTTACTTCGATGTGTAGATCACGCTATCGTACACTTCGTTGATAAAAACCATGAACTAAGATATAATCTTAGTTCATGATAAAAACCAACTGACGGAATTTGGAGAGTTATCACGTCTTATCACTATTAAATTATATCAGATGCATAATTGTTTACACACGTTCGTCGTTACAGCACCAGCCACAAATGTACAATCGCAAGTCACAACGATTGCCGTCGGACCTGTTTCGCTGTAGACGTGTCGTTTGGACAACATTTCATAGAAACGAGTACAAACGATTGGTGAACGTCTTCAGGAGTAAAGAAAAAAATGGACGGATTAGTACAGTCGGTAGTGTACGAGACGTCGTCTCCCGCAAATATTTATTCAGCAACGGTAATGCGCATGGTCGACGGTGACCAAAAGATTGTAATGGTCGCTTCAAAAAAAGACATGATCACTCTGGAGTCGAAGATAGTAGACAATAAGGTTGTAACTTCTATCGTGGAACTCAACTTTTCCAATATTCCAAGTGAGTCTCAAAACTGTTATGTTCACAGAAATTTTCATTATCTCATAATTTGAATTATTTTAAAGGTAATGCTGAGATCATTTCTATACACTGCATAAACAAATGTAAGGAGTTTGATGATTTTGTTTTTGGAATAACATATGCGTTGGTATGTACTTACTTTATAGCATTATATGTTTAATTTACAAGGACACAATGATAGAATATCTTCATTGTATAAAAATGTACTTATTACTGTAATTCAGGCCTGTTCTTAAATTCCTAACCTAACTTGACCATTTAAAATGCATATTTTTTTAAACCTCAACTTTTATTATAAATTAAAACTAAGTTCATAATTGATTTCTTTAAAGTTATCATTTGTTTACTTGGTTGTCTTCAACTATCTTGCAAATCACAATGTTAGTACTACTAATTATCTTCAATCCAGAATCACAATTTCCCAGTCCTTTTATAAAATGCTTTATCATAATATGGTACATCATTGATCAAACATTCAAATGTATTTTTCTGAACATTTTGTTATGAGTATTTATCACATATGAAAGAAAATTATTATGCACTTAATTTTTTGCTATTAATGAATTGTTTACTTATAAATTATAACTCACAAAATTTTAATGCTACTAAATGTGTTTTGTGTTCTAGATTGTAGAAGACGAAGAGCCTGTAAAGTCTGTAAAGCCTGAAACATACTTAAACATATACTCAGGATTTCCTGGTTCATCATTAGAAGCTATAATGGAAAACTGCATAACACTTAAATTGGACTTTGTTCCATTTCAATTGAACCATGCCATTTATATGTCAGAATCGCAAAAAAATGTAAAATATTTTTTGTTTTACTTTCATATTTTTAGTTGTTGCGAAATTGGATTAGAGTATTTAGTTACTTGAAACAAATTCTTATTAACTCATGATGCTGTATTGGCAAATAAATTGTTGGTATAATATACACTTTAAAAAATTGTTCACTCAAAGAATAAAATTTACAATTTCATTCAATGTATCAATAATTTTATATATTTCAATCCAATTGACAATTTCAATTTATATGGCTCTAATATGCAGTATTCAATGATCATTAAACTCATCAAAATTTAAAATAAAATGTGTATAAAAACCTTTAAACATCAACATCAACAATTGTATGTGACATTAAGCGAGTGATGATGACAAATTTCTATCTTAAGTATACCAGTAAAATAATGATTTTGTTACAAGTATATAAAAAAAACCAATAAACTTTATTCATTATACACTATTAACTCTCCAATAGACCACTTTTTAATCTCCTGTTTTCAACATTGTCTAAAAATAAATGATGTTAAATATAATATATTTTGCTTCCACTCCTGTCAGTTGACATTTTACTTTTATATCATAAACAACTGCATATTTTGCTATAAACTTTATTAAACCCTTTAAAGTAAGATATATTAACCTTATTTATTTATTTTAGGGCATGTGGTTGTTATCAGGAAGTGATAAAAAAATACATGCTTATAAGATTGGAGAAAAAGAAATTCTTGAACAAAAAGTTGAAGAATATTTTATCGAATTTGAAAAAAAAGAAAAAGAAGAAGAAGAAGAAGAAGATACAGAAAACTCAATTGTTCTGTGTTTTGGTACCAAATCATTTAACAACTACAAAAAGTAAACCATTATTTTTTAAGTTTAATTTGCAAAATTAAAAAATATCTCAATGTTTTACTATTTTAGAAGAATGTCGTTTTATGGATGTGAAACAGGATATGCAATGTTCGCAATAGTAGATTCAGAAAAAAATAAGATACTGCATCGTTTTTTAGAACGTTATGAGTCGCCAATAACAGTCATGCAATTGTTTAACATACATAAAAAAACTGTTGACATTGACAATATTCTCTCAGGTGTTTTTGAAAAAAAATGTCTTATGTAGAACTTTGATAGTCCTAGTCCTCTGTAGTTCTAGTTGTCCAGACAGCACAATAATTCATTATTATTTAATAATAACTTGTTAAAATTCCCAGAATACAATTAACTTGTGAAAATAATTTATCTACTTCATTTTTGTTTTACAGGAACCCCTCTGATACTAGAAGTTGTTGTACTACACTATAGTACAAACTTGTAATAAAATAAAAGTTGAGTGAATTACTGATAAAAACATCCAATTTTTCCTCAATTCGAATTAAATTTATAAATTATTTAATTCAGAACTGATCAATAAAGTTGATAGAATAAAATACCTTGGTCATTAAGTACCCTAAAAACTTCCAATATTCTGGGCAACACTTTGTCTGATTATGTCCGGACTATCAAGATTCTACTGATATTTAATGAACACAATTAACTTTTCACTTATTAGTATTATTTATATATAATTAATAGGAGTCAAAGATGATTTCATACCAGATTGTGACACTGTAGATGAAAAAGAACAAATCTGTTTACTAGTAGGAAGTGCAGTTGAAAGTGCTGTTGTATATATGCAAGTACCTGGTAACTTAGTTGTATAAAATAATAATAATTTTTTTTAAATATATTATGTATAATATTATATTATTTTTTGTTTAAGGAATGTGTTAAAAAATGATTTAAGAAATGCAATCACATTGACCGATAGTAATAGACACCAAGCTATTGTGTGCGCTTTAATCACAGATGTAAATTTTGATTCTAAGAACGAAATACTACTTGGGACTTATGGAAATGTAATTGATTGAATATTAAAACCATACTGAATAAAATGTTGAAATATTATTTCTTTTAGTATATTTTAAACTATGTCTACGAAAATAACAATTGGGTGGAACAACAACAATTTGACATGAGAGACTCAGTATACACAATTTGTTATTTAGATATAGCTGGTGAAGGAGTGAATGATGTAGTTGTAATGAGTGAGAGAGGAATACATATTTTAAAAGTAAGTTATCTATTGTTAATAGTCATATTATATTCTCATTGGATTTTGTATTTATTTTTGTTTATAATAAAATTAAAATAATTAACTCTAACTCATAAAAAATATTTTATTATATTAAAATACTAATTTTAATGCTAAAACTTGGAAGCAAAAAATGGATTTTATTATCTTTAGTAATTAGTAATTACTACCTAAGAAGAAAACTGTACTATACTTCTTGCAGTATATGAAAACACAAGTTTGCTCCAAAAACTTGTTAGAATTTCCTCAGTTTGCATGCAGAAGACTTGCATTTTCTCAAACTGGGTGAAGTATAGTAGAAGTGTAGTAAGTCTACATTTTAAGTGTCAATATCTTATAAATTGTAAAAATAATTTGACTAAAAAGTTTTGTCATTACTCTTCAGTCGTCATAATTATTGTACTTCATTTTTTCTGTTTCAGCATGAACCTAGCTACATAGTTGAAGTACTAAAAAATCGTTTACAACTATAGAAATTTGAAAAAAACTGAATTTATTACTTAAATTGTGAACTTAAAATGATAAATAAATGTTTATATTCATTAATTGTTGATTATTTCATTTTTTTAAATACACTTTCAATATAATTATGATAACTTTAAAATTTATTTACAGTTAAGTTACACTAACTATTGTATTTGTGAATAAATACTTCAGTAGTTGTCACATATTCAAGGTATTTATTTTTATATGTTATCTTGTTTTTATAATAAATAATAATATTTGATACTTCCAAGTTAGCTATAAATGCAAACTATGAATTAATAATGCAAAATAAGGTTATATGGAGTATACATTTTCATAATGTTATTAATGTTTAGTATGATATAAAATTAAGATAAATGGTAGGTATGACTGAGAAATTCATAAATTAAAAATTAATTACTTGCCATAATATAAACTGAAGTGTTTTTAGAACATATGCAACATACTAATAAAGACTAAATGTATAGCTTAAGTAGCTTTTAAACATTTTTTACTACGTATTACAAAAAGTTGTATAAATTACCTTTCTATGCGAGGAAAAGTATATTTTCTGTTCTAAATAAATGTTTTTAAAATTTAAAATAAACCAAAAGTATGTATCTTTCACGGACTAAGATATAATATATACACTTAGGGGTGGATAGTTTAATTTTAATAATTTAATATTAATAATATGATAAATATAATGTTTTTGGTAAAAAATAAACCAGCATACCATAATTTTAATGGTAAAACAAACTTTTTTAATAGTGACTGACTGACCATCTTCTTTCAGAATCATTTTGTTGAATTCAAATTTAACACATACACTACACTGTAATGATTACAGTGACACTCAATGATGAGGTCTACTCGACCCACTGAACTGCAAACATATTAAATACTTTTTTTCGAGAATCAAGTTGTCTTGTCATTGGTCTTATATTCTGGTTCTAATGAACTTATAACTTTATACTTTTTTATACCCGCCATAAATTTTGAAGCTAATAAGTTAAAATAGAAAATAAATCTATGTACATAATATTACAAATTATAATACAATATATATCCCAGTATACCCAAGCTATACATATATTATCTATCATATTTAATATTTTTAAATTCATAAAATATAATATAACAAACCCATTTTCATAACATAGGATCAATCACCTTTAGAGATAGCATCAGACATATACTAATGCAAATTCAATTCAATATAAACAAATTAGGTAATAACTTTTGTTTGAAAATGTAATGTTTTTTCCAAATTATTTTATTTTCAAATAAAAAAAACATAAAGGTACATTATAAGTAATAACTAATATTAGGTACTACAATAAAGCTCTGTGGATTTAAAAATAAAAATAATATATTTTGAGCAATAATAATGTAAATGGGTATAAATAATAACCATCGTCAAGTAAAGTAATATTGAACGAATTTCTAATTTAAGCAATAACAATAGATAACATAAATAATAACAGTACAATTAGTAGCACCATAAAATAAATTCCTAATGGAAAAAAAAAGACTAAATTTGACAGTATTTAATAAACATATCAATGTTAGTGTCATTGCAAATTTAAATTTCTTGTTGTATAAATAATATAAATGGGTGTATAAAAACAAATTATTACTACTAACTAGAATAATTCAAATAATAAATAACAAAAGTATAAATTCTTAAACCTCTTGGGTATTCCGTTTGAAAAAATAACAATAGCTAGTTCTACAATTCAAATTATAATATGTATGGAATGAAAGCATATCTTTCTTTAGGGTACATTTTGAATTTTGATTGATACCACCAATGATTAAGCATTGCAGACTCGCACTGATTGCTCAATACCCAAAAAAAAATGTATGGCCAAATCTGACTTCCCCAGAGCATGATGTATATGGCCATATACATAAGCATTTCACAAAACAAATGAGGACAAGATATTTTGTCAAATAAACCACCAGTTGGAATTTTGTGTTCATATGTAATGACTTTTCCTTCTTTGTTTGTTCTCAAATTGACCAAATTTACATTTGCCAAATATTGTTGTTGGAAAGCCCACAAAAACATAATAATTCCAATGATCAGTCTAATGTTTATATCATTAATTGAGAAGTAGGACTGATGATCAACAGAAAGTGTGGTGAAAGGTGATGGTGCTTCAGCTAATATGGCGGCTATAGAACCAAAGTAGTGTATGTATCCAATAGCGTAATGTGAAATGTTAATTTTTGAATTTGAAAAAATACTTAGATAATGTGTTTCATAAAAACGCTTCCAACACTGGATTAGCATACAGAACATGGCAACAGTAGTCGCAGTTGCATTGTATGACGTTCGTCGATTCTTTAGTGCTACTGTGTCCAGAAAATGTGTTATGAATTCAGGAACAGGCACTTTGAATACAAAAGCTAATATTACTAACACAAATCCAAGTGTCGACCACACAGCAGCAAATACATAGAAATGTTTGAACCAATTTTTTGGTACTTCCAAGTAGTTGACCAAGAAATGTTTCTTTTCACTTGAAAATTTACCATACCTGAATGTTTGCACTATAGACACCGGTAATTTAGATTCAATTAAATTAATTAGCACACTTAAAATTACGATTGAAAACGCCATAAAGGCAAAAATGATCTTTAAAAACGAAACGTCCATATTGATTGATCAAAACATGTATTCTGAACAGAATAGGTTAGTGTTCAGAAGAGAAAAGAGAAACTTTCCAGTTTCCATAATTACGTTTACAGTTAGCTGACTGATGTTTTCATTTACGATTTACAGTTATTTTTTAAAAATATTTAGAAGTGGGAAAATTTGATAAAATAATCACCTGTTTTCTGCCCTTCGCCAATACAACTGTGCACGTGTCCCTCGATCGTCCAAATCGTTTTGCATTAGTACAAGCTCGCACTAATTTAAAGCACAACAAGTACAGAATACAGTTAAAATTAACTTAAATACAATATTACAATAAAATATGAAATTACACTTGATGAATAAAATAAAAAGTTTGTTTCAAAATGAATGTAAAATAATAATATATCTAGTACAGACTAATGATGACCGCAGTCCACAGTAAATAAACTGATAAGCTCTAATGTTATTGGGCGGTGCAAAGTAGTTTGATAACACGTGATGTTTTGTTTTTTTATCAGTTATTTAGAAATTTAAAATAAATGTTTATTCTACAGGTAATAGCACAACATTGAAGAGCACAATATTGAAGAATACATTGATTAAATAGATTTCATATATTCTGAGATTTAATTATAAGCATTATACATTTATACCATTTGACAACGTACGATGATAATACAATATGATTATACGATACGCATTGACGCATTGTTGATTGTTATCCATGACATCACATATATATTGGATACGTATATTATTCCGTAATTGGATACAAAGTGTTCCCCATTACATCAATAAATAAATAAATAAAGAAGTGCTCTGTGCAAAAAAGAAACAACTCTATTATTTGAAGATATTGAATTATTGAAAAAAAAATGTCAAAAACAAAACAAATCCCGTCTTTACTTCACGAAATCTGACATAATACCTACGTAATATTTGGAGCTGTCTGGTTTTTGATTTTATGGTTAAATATTCAGACAACTCCTACCAGGAGCCTCCTGGTAGCTACAAAATTAATTCCTAAATATTTTTCTAAAATGGAGTAGAGTAAAGTATGTCTGGTTTATTCAATAATTGAAATTTTATTTTATCTAGCCATCGTTTTAATATTATGACCAGGGAACGGATTTTATTGTAAATACATACTTTGGAATGACAGAGTCTGATATAAATGAGTATGGTTTAGATCATTTTAATTGAAATAACCCTATTTTTTTTGTAGACAAACCCAGAAACCTAACCAACAACAAACATTATCTGATTTATTTAAATTTACATCTGCATATCGATATGCCGCTATTAAATATGCCGTCGAAATTATAACCAATTTATTTTGGTAAAAACAATAGAGCTTCGGCTGGTATCTTACTTACAGCTTCCACAAATATCTGACTGGGTTTATCACAAATTCTTCGTGATCCCGATTTACTTTATTTTATAAAATTTTTAATAACATGTATTTTTGAATGTTCCCCGCCTGGCTGCAGGGTGTACAATTTTAACTACTTATATGGTTAAGAAACTTAAAAGATGAAGATCGTATTTTCGGACAATTACCTATACTTAATTTTCATATTAAATTGCCAACGTTTTGTTTTTTCCAACATATGTTGATGGGTGTATCGTATATGCTATTTCGGTGACTCTTTTAGCTTACTTGTGCAATTTCTGACATTTTTTCAACGTTAACCCAACAATAGGTAGAGTAACTTGTAATTTATAAAGGAACTTAATACCTACTAATCAACTGACGTTTAGAACTATACTCACAAAAATAACAACTTACTGAACAGTTACACATACTAACATAGGTACCAATAGGATATAGGATATAGATATCTCAAGAGATACCAGAGAATTAAGATGAAAACAATAGTATTTTACAAATGCATGCTCTCAAAAATCGAGTTATGCACAAAGTCCAAAAAAAGTAGTTACGAAGTTTAATACGCATGTTAACAAGTCTGGTAAGTACTCTGGTCCATTTATTATTTATATTATTTACTGGCTAACTCAATTACAATATTATATTACAAATAACAAATTTTAAGATATAACATGTAAGATGTAAGTATGTAACTGCAGAGTATATTCATATTCATATATAAGTTACTATAGGCTTTAGTATCAAACTACCAAAGTAAAAACAGTTTCCCCTTGACTATTTTAGCTGCATAATGTCAGAATTTCGAATTTTAAATTATAATAATGTTCCCATAGTAACACAGATTAAATAATTTCATAATATGTTTTATTTAATCTGTGAGAGTAGTGAGTAATGTGTTTACTGTAATTATATTAAATTCTAAAAATTATAAAGAGACTACTCACTACTGCATACAAAAATTTAAAATAGTCTTAACTACTTCTATTTTCTAAGCAGTATGTCACAAAAACATAAAATGAAAATATCTGTATATGTTCTAAGACTGTATACAATAACATTGATCAATGACAATAATAAAATATGATGTGATAATCCTTATCAGTGATTACCTATGGTCGTCACAATTATAATTGTGCACGATGATAATATTGTTGTTTATTATATTATTTTTGATCTTATTTTGTATTACCTATAATTCTTACCATAATACCGTGGTTTTATGTCTATCAAAGAATTTAAACCAGTAAATACAAAAATGAGAAATTTTTGAAAGCAATTTTTCATTGGCATAATAACATTTATTAATTCTTCTATTGTTTTTACTTTTTTACAATGTATACTGTGAACTGCTAAGTTAATCAAATTCAAACTATTATTATTTTACTGTGTGTTGTTATTCTTGAAATAAACCCTACGTTTGCTTTTTCAGGTAAATAATTCATAATTATATAATACTAATAATTAATAACTAATCATTACTCAAGATAATATTAGCGAGTAAACATCTTAATACTATATCTCATTTAAAATGTAATAAATAATTATTTGTTAGTTATATTGGATAGAAAATAATAACTATCATAGATAAATTATTACTTTTGTAACTTTAACTAAGGAGTTATAAATATAGATTTTTTCACTAAGAACTCCAGATTTAATTTTGTTATTACTCAATTAGAATTATACTCTATTATGTTGTTTGTAACAAATAAATTTTATATAAATGTGTAGTATACATTTTCTGATTGATGTATGAATTATAACACCTGCCATATGTTCGCTTCGGCTACATTGGCAACCTTCAGTCATAGTCACAAAATTTCTCATCTCTTATGGACAATTCAAATAAGGCGTTCTTAATGGAATTCCTGGGGTGTTTAAAATATTAAAAATAGTGCATTATAGTTTGTATGTATATATTTGTTTATATTAATTGATAAGTTATCAACCACTAGCAAATAGCTTTAGAACTTCATGCACTAAAAGATACCTATCTTCAACGTACAGTGTAGACTAGACACTAGTCAGTATAGAAACCGTAGACTATATTAAAAACAAATAAGATTATGTAAAATCTACAAATATGTTTATTGCTAATCAGGATGCCTTTTACCATAAATAATATATATATATGTGCAGGATGTGCATGGATCCGTTTCGGTTTGACATATTGCACGTTTTTGATCATATTGCATATTTACATATTATACAAAAAAATACCTAACAAATTTAAGTACTTTGAACAGTTACTAATACCATATTAGTACATATTTTCATATATAAAATATAATGTTTTTTCCTCAATAATCATAGCTGCATGTTTTATAAAATTATTTGGTAATTTCAATAGCATATTGCATATTATCTACATATAGTGCATAATATGTATAATAGGATTCTATCCCCGTAGACAAGTTATTATTTATTTTCAATAATTTAAGAGCTTTTAGAAAATGTTTTCAATGTAAAAAAAGCACATATGTTTTTTCAAATAACATTATTTGCAATTTTGTTTTACATTACACATACATTTATTGTTAATTTTTAATGGTGTTTAATTATATGTTATATTAAATTGTAATCAATTATTTTTGTTTTTCATTTATAACGTTTTGAATCCCTGCCTGATATACTATTGTACAAATTGTACCAAAACAGAAGTGAGAAAAAAAATCTCGTACAGACTAATATGAACTAATATATAGGCGCTATATATATTGTACAGTATATTATGGTAAAAACTTTAACTATTGTATTTATTTTGTAAAGTAAATTTCTTAATTAGATAATATTAATGTGTTACTGTGTTATTAGTGCAACTTGTTTTTTTTAATTTACAGTAGGTAATGCTGCAAATTTACCTTTGTCAATGATTTTTGAGGAGTAGGAGGCATGCTCTTCAAACTTGTTTGATTTTTTAACACTAATTTATTAACCTGTTAATAATTTTAATAACCCCCTCAAAAATCAGTTTACCAAACCTCTTCATTATCAAATTTCATATTATACAAAATTTAAATTAAATTTAACAAATACATTATATAGGTACTTATTGAAGCTAAATTATCTTGATTTTTATACTTTTTAAATTTTTATGTCGCAAAATATGAATTTTGATCAATATAATTATCTAAATTAATTATTGATACATAGAAAATTGCATTTATCAATGATCACATAGAAAGTAATATAAATTCAAGATAAATTTTTATTTCAAAATCTTCCAGATTTTTTAAATAGTGTAACAATATAATATAAATCAAAATATTGACTTAATGTAGAACAATATAGAACAATAACTACATTCCGTCATCTAATCACAAATATGTTTATTTTGATAATACATGTACGTTTCTACCAATTTAATACTACCTAAGTAAGCTTATCGTCACTTAAGTAAGATTAGGATTAAATTATCATTGTTTGTATAGTAAAATTTGACAAAATTGAATGCGCCTATCATCAACTATAAAGAAAAACATTTTTATTTAGCATCAACGGTAGATCGTTTTCCACCCCATGGAAAAAAATCGGAACTTCTCCTCATACTTTTAATACCAGCGTATCGAATTCCTTTCTTTTCTTCTGGATCCCTTGACCAGTCTGAGAAAATAGTAAACAATGCATGAATTCCTTTGGTCATTTTATTTCTGTAATTGTTTTTATCTTGTTTCATCCCATTAAGTTCCCTTTTATCCATTTGGTGTTCATATATTTCTCCATTATCATAACCATCATAATCACTTCTTTTCCCGCCCCAACTAGAAAATGTTTGTTTAGGTCGACCGTGTTTATCCGAAGCTCGTTTTCCTCCCCAACTGGAAAATGCTGGACGTTTTCCTCCATATGGATAAGTGCTTTGTCTTTTTCCACCCCAACTAGAGAATACTGTCTTCTGTCGGCGTTTTTCTGGTGAGTCAAATTTGTTTAGGTCTACTAGACTCGAAGATTTTTCCAGTAGATCGCATATCTCGGTGTTAGGTTCTACTTGGCATATATCGTACACTTCTTGTAAGGATATTATCTCATCGGACTTGATTTCTCGGTTAGTGAGTTTCATTAGAACCAGCAACAACCAGGGTAAACCAATTTTTACCATGCTAAAACATAAACAAACAGTTAATAATAATTTAATCATCAAACAATCTTTTTAGCGTAATTCCAGTACCTATAGCAATTTATTAGATTTTAACACTATTTTTAATATTTTCAGATACACTGTATGCAGTGTGATCATTTAACCAGTAAACACTCAATATCTCAGAAAGCATTAACATTGATTTTTTTGATTATAATTTAAAGTCATAACGAACAAAACTTATGAAAAAAATAATATTTTTTAAGTAACTTATGTTTTGAACCACGCAAACATTTAAAATTGTGTATACTTTGCTGAATATTTGTCTGAGATTTTCGATAAATTAAAATCAAATATTGCACTAGTATTTTTAGTTTAGATAAACGGAGTGAAGTGGCACTGAGGCCTAGGTTCATTAAGGGTACCCATAAATATGTTGTTTCACTAGTTTAAATTTTAAATATTACAAATATCGAATTATAGTTTCAACTAATATTAATTAGTTAATTAAATACTTAACTATTAGTTTAAAATTCTAATTGTATGTCAAAATGTTCAGAAAAAAAACGTTACTTCATATTATTTAATAAAAAATGAGTCATAGAAAAAAAATTATAATGGTAAAAATATAATTTTTTTCTTGATAACTTAATTTGCAATTACTTCAAATCGCATAAAAAAAATTTCCAAAATTTTGGTATTTTTCGAGAGTATACACTTACAGATTATTCCACTCATAAATAAATGATCTCATTTTTTATCCTGAGCAATAACGACTAATGACAAATGAGATATTGAATAGTTTAATTGTGATTTGTAATTGTCACTAATATAGTTAAAAATCAAAACAAAAACGATCTTTTTCGAATAAATTAATTAACTTGACTGTAATATTACTGTTTGTTAAGTTAAAACTGTCTATTAAACATTATACCATTATAGTACCTCAGATAGTACTAATTACAGTTAAATCAAATTTTAAATCAAAAAGGGCGTATTTGTTGTTTAGCTATTACATATATTGTATGTATTGTAAATGTATATAATACGTTTGTATGTTTTACGGACGCATACAATAATAACACGGATTTGTGAACTAAAGGATCTTTTTTATTCCCTCTGGTGTAGATTTAACAAGGATATTTTTTGCTGACGTGTCTCACCTTTTTTTTGGTCATCGGAGACTATGTGGACAGGTAGTTAATTTTCTACTTACAGAAATTTGATGAATGATTTAAAATTGAAAAATTGTTTTCTTACTTAACTAGTCAATTTTACACAATATTAATTAATGAACAAAAATAGTTCTGATCTGTGTTTATAATATGCTATGTACTTTTTTTTTTTGAAGTCACCTACTATTAGTTTGTGTAAAGAAAATATTGTACATTTTAAAATTATGTTACAGTTTATAGTTACCAATAAAAAACTTGATTAGTTAGAAATTAGTATATATTTTTACTTAAATCAGGAAGTACGATCAAACTCTAATTAATTTTTGTTTATGAGTTCGTAATATAAATATTATGTTAAGTATTTCGTATATATTTCAGTTGTATTTTAAGTTAGTGATAAGACACCTATAAGATTAACCGCATAATTAAGAAATAATAATATTGTTTTTATGCACCTATTCATGTAAGTATATTGAAATTATTTATTTTTTTAGTACATATACATAGCATATATTTTATAGTACTAATAATATAGGGTGGCCAGATTAAATTTTATGAACTCTTGGACAACGAATTATAATTTAATTTTGTATGTGTTAATTGTATTGTATGCGAAAATATTAAAATCAATTGTATTCTAGTAACATTTTGGGACATGAGTTTTTATATCGGTAACTCCGAAAAATCCTAGGCAAATGGGACACCCGAATATTATACTTACTGCAGGTAGTTTAAAATTTAACTTATATTACGATAATATTGACTTAAATATTAATATTATAGTTTTACACCCTTATTATTACTTTAATAGTTTAATATAAATATATAATTACATTTAAGATACCTGGAGTACCTTCACATTTATTTTGTTTAATGTGTAGGTTCTATTATTAAAAACAATTGCATCTCAAAAACGAGTTCAATTGCCACATATAAATCTAAATAAAATAATGCTCTTACTACAAAACTACAATGGAAAACAAATAAACAGATGATTATTTATTTAACTCATTCTTTACTTTTATAACTATTTAGTTTAAGTATAAATATTGATGCTTTTTCCACTTTAACGTAAATTACTTTTTGATGTATTTTGATGCGTTTAACTTACGTTTTACTTAATCTAACCCTTCCATTATCGTTTAATCATTACCGTAGCTGTGCATCCATTAATAA